CACCATCAGAACCATAAAAACAGCCTTGAAAACTAAATTGGAAGGTCTAAAAGGTAAATGGGTGGAACACCTCTCAGAAATACTAAAGGCTTACAGAACAACAGCCAAGTCGGTGACTCAGGAAACATTGTTTGCTTTGGCCTTTGGAACCGAAGCAGTGACACCAGTCGAGATTGGACTTCCATTCCCCTGAACTGAGTTCGCCAATGAAGGGGACAATGATGAGTCCCTTCTACTGAGTTTAGACCTCATAGAGGAAAAGAGGGATACAACTTTGCATCGTATCAAAAGTTATCAGAGGAGGACAACCAGGTACTATGACAAGAAAGTCAGACGAAGGAGTTTCAAGGTGGGCGATCTAGTGCTCAGAAAACTTCTGTTGGCAAGGAGAGACCCGCCTCACGGGATGCTGGGGGCAAATTGGGAAGGGCCGTACATCATCTCAAAGGTGATAAGGCCGGGAAATTACGAGTTGCAAACCGAGGAAGGGAAACTCTAACCTCATTCTTGGAATACGGAGCATCTTAAGAGATTTTTTTCGTAAGCTTCTTCTGTAATCTGATTGTTCTCAATAAAATTGCATGTCTTTATTTTCTCCCAGTAAAATTGCCTAAAAATGAGCTCAATAGCTCACGATAAACTCCTAAGTTCATAGGAATGAGCTAAGAAGCTCACGATGAACTCTTAAGTTCATAAAAATGAGTTCAATAGCTCACAATGAACTCCCAAGTTCATAGAAATGAGCTCAATAACTCACGATGAACTCCTAAGTTCATAGGAACGAGCTCAAAAGCTCACGATGAACTCTTAAGTTCATAAAAATGAGTTCAATAGCTCATAATGAACTCCTAAGTTCATAGAAATGAGCTTAGAAGTTCAAAATGAACTCTTAAGTTCATAAGAATGAGCTCAGTAGCTTACGATGAACTCCTAAGTTCATGGAAACGAGCTCAATAGCTCACGATGAACTCTTAAGTTCATGAGAATGAGCTCAGTAGCTCACGATGAACTCCTAAGTTCATATAAACGAGCTCAATAGCTCACGATGAACTCTTAAGTTCATGAAAACGAGCTCAATAGCTCACGATGAACTCCTAAGTTCATGAAAACAAGCTCAATAGCTCACGATAAACTCCTAAGTTCATAAGAATGAGCTTAGAAGCTCATGAACTCTTAAGTTCATGAATACAAGCTCAATAGCTCACGATGAACTCCTAAGTTCATAGGAATGATCTTAGAAGCTCATGATGAACTCTTAAGTTCATAAAAAAGAGCCCTAGAGCTCACGATAAACTCGTTAGTTCATAAAAAGAGCTCGAGAGCTCACGACAAACTCGTTAGTTCAGAAAAAGAGCTCAGGAGCACACGACAAACTCGTTAGTTTATAAAAAGAGCTCGAGAGCTCACGATAAACTCGTTAGTTCATAAAAAGAGCTTGAGAGTTCACGACGAACTCATTAGTTCATAAAAAGAGTCCTAGAGCTCACGATGAACTCGTTAGTTCATAAAAAAAGCCTTGGTGCTCACGACGAACTCATTAGTCCATAAAAAGACTTGTAGCTCACGACAAATTTGTTAGTTCATAAAAAGAGCCTTAGAGCTCACGATGAACTTGTTAGTTCATAAAAAGAGCCCTGCAGCTCACGGCGAACTTGTTAGTCCGTAATAAGAGCCGTAGAGCTCACAATGAACTCGTTAGTTCATAAAAAAAGCTCTGAAGCTCACATTGAACTTATCAGTCCATAAAAATAGCTCAGTAGCTTAGGACGAGTTCTTCTGTCCCTAAAGCAAATGTAGCAGCTCAGAATGCCCGGTCCAAAAGAAGTAAAAGCAAAACCTGCAACATGTAGACTAGAGGGAAAACTTCACAACTTCTATCCATTACAAAAAGGAAAAATGGGGGTCTTTGGTCCACAAGCTAGGAAACGACATGGAAGATCAGCTGCCAAATTCTCAAAGCCACAAATTGTGTATAAGAAGCGGCAAACATGGAAAGGGAAAATCAAGGTTTCAAGAACATCAAAGATTACAAAAAAACCAATCAAAGCAAAATTTCTAGTCGTCTCTGCATTTCAACTATCCTCTCTTTCAAACGCAGGTTCTCCTCCTTCAGCTCATCCCTCTCCTTCTCAGTTGCTGACAATAGATCTATCAATTTTTGTCCAATAGAGGAAAACATATCTTCCCCTAGGAAAGATCTAGATGAAGGAAAGGATGAACCATTCCTCTTGCGTTTCTTGATATGAGTCTCATCATCCTCGCTCTTATTAGGCCCGGTAGAAGATAGACCAGATTCAAGAAAAAAGGAAAAGTCCGGTTCAGCTGCAACGGCGCTAAACAAGAACAGATTATCTGGCGTCATGAGATCAGAAAAAGACACGGGCTCAGCTTGGATCATTTGTTCCACCCTCATCAATTTAAGCAGGTTCAGGTCAGGAGCACCTAAAAAAAAAAAATTCCCATGCAAACTTCGAAGTCGCTGATTAGGAAACCATTCCACTACATCTTAAGTTCAGCCCTTGCCCAAGCCAGCTTGACCAAGAGCTGGGGGGCAACTGATGATACTTAGAGCAATTTTCAAGTATGAGCTCGGGAGCGGAGGTCAGACGCACAAAGCTCATAAAACCAGAGTAAAGCCCAGCCCAATCGAAGTAGCAGCCGAAGTAATAAAGAGATAGCTATTTATCAACAGAAACCTTAGAGGCAGCAAAGAGTCATAATCGAAGCATAAAACTCTCATCTAGGAAAGATCTCCTCCTAAGATCAAGAAAGATTCCTCGGATAAATGGCGAAGATCTTGGGGCGGATCCCGCAGAATTAGGAAAAGCCCTATAAATACTATGTAACGCCCCCAACAGAGGGGTAGAACCCTAGTATCACATCTTACATTCTATAAACCTTTTGATATAGTAAATAGTGAAGGAAGGAGCAAGAATCTCCATTGAAGAGTGGATTAGTCGAGCTCCTGAGTTGGTGAACCACTATATTTCTACTGTATTAATTCTCAAACTCTCCAATAATTCTCAGTATCATTCCCTCGAGTCTAGTAGCTCAAATCCCGAGAACCTTAAGCACTATTCCCCGATGGCTCAGACGTTAATAATCAGAAATATTGCTTATCTCATTGACTCATTGCCACAAAACTGTTTCGCCATTAATTTGCACCACTAATTATCAATTTACCAGTGTCTCTAAGATATTTCTCAGTTTGTTTATTGTTGTATTAAATCAGATAATAAACCCATGTTTTTTAATAAAAAAATGCATTTGTAAAACACATCTTTCAGCACCTTTAAACAAAAACATTTTTGCTTGAAAGCTCATTTCACACTTATTTCCTCTAAAGCAGGTTTTTATCCTTTCATTCCACTCATCCAGACTAGAAACATTGACTATAAGTACTAGTAATAGCTGAACCAAAAGACCGAAAGTTCCCCTCACCCATGGAGGGGAGAACAAACATGAGAATTTTTATATCAGGAAAAGTCCAATGCTCGCGCTTCTTTTGAGGATTAGTAAACTTTTTGGACGTGACCACGAGGATCCTTCCTGATGTGGAATGTCCGATTTGAGCTATAATGACAAAGGAAAGTGGGTACAAATAATAATTTAATGAACAAAAGGGGATAAAAAGATTAAACCATTAATATAGATTTTGCCAAAAAAGGAAAATTTCAAATTACTTATATTGCTAAAAATTACTAATCACTCGCATTAAGACAGAACAGACATTGACAATTCTGTTTTTAGACGGTGAAGTTATTCGATTATAAAATATTACCAAAAAAGGCAAAAAGGTCATTTTCAACTCCTAAAAGTAGGAATTTGTCCAAAATTTGCCATGAGTTATTGCATCCCCTATTAGTGGTGCAATGAGTTCATTTCGCCATGTGGTTGGTGATTGGATATTGGTGTTTGGAAACTCATATATGTGAAAGTACTTACGAAAAAGCCAATCTAATTGACTAGCCTGAACCACCCCGACATTAATCACACTGACTCAATTACTATGATGTTATACGATTTACATCACATAATTACAAATACAAAATGATAACCCATTATCACAACACCACAAAAGTAAAACAGCAAATCACGTTACTCTTGTGAATCATGCCCTACTTGATAATCACATGAAAATCAAGAACGATTTTAAGCAGGTACGACTTATAACTAAACTACCAACTTAGATGGTGAAAGTCATTATTCTAAACCAGATTTACATTCCATAAGTTAAATGATCAAAGCACCTTCAAAAAGTCTTAAATACCATCCCTGGTCCTAGGCGTAGGTCAGAAAGGTTTGCCCATCACTGATGATTTACCCATAGGATGGGCACCTGAAAAATTTTAGGCCTTTAATTTTAAATAGACTGAACAATTTGAACTACAATAAGGTAACTTCATAGAAAAATCGATACAGAATTTATAATTCGATTATAGTAATTGAACGAGCGACAAGAATGGAGCCTTAGTTGATCCGCACCCCATTCTTAGAGAAATTAATCATGGGGTGTGGTCCCACTCATCAATCTTATATCCTCAATCAAACGGTTCAAATTATAGTATGATGTTCCACCTTCACTAACACTTTCTTTTGCCAATTTGGCCGTCTGATTCGCCTTTTCCAAAAGCTCCTCCTTCCTCACCTCCATCAGATCTTTCACCCTCTTCTCAACTATGGTTCTGTCACAGGTGTCCTTCATGTCCAACCCTACCTTCCACACCTCCCCCACAAACCTACTGTTCACCTGCTGATCAATAAAGTACGGCCAACATATCATCAGAATTCCGGCGGCTATGCTCTCCAACGTCGAGTTCCATCCACTGTGTGTCAAGAACCCACCAACAGCTGGATGCCCCGACACCTCTTCTTAAGGAGCCCAACCCACTATATAGCCTCTCTCTCTCGTAACCTCCGAGGTTTTCATAGGAAGTTGACTCTCCCAATCTTTTTCGACGACTGAATCCGGTCTAATCACCCAGAGGAATCGTTTCCCACTATTCACCAAACCGTGCCAAAACTCCATGAGCTGGACTCTCATCATCATTGCAAGATTTCCAAAGCTTACGTATATCACAGATTTGGACTGTTGTGAGTCTAGCCAAGTGATGCAACTCTTGTCTTCTTTCCCACAAACTGTTTGATGACGGTGAATATGACGTTGCTGCCGCTGCGAGTTTGGCCTTCAAGTGTGCATGTTGTGGTCCGAAGGTGTAGAGATTTGGACAGACAGTACGTATATGTGAGAGTATGGGTCGGTCTAGTTCTTCAAATGTGTTGAGAATGAGTCCACGGGCTCTTGCGTTTTCTTCGCCCTCCATCTTGATGAAAGCTATCGTTCGATCAGATAGGTTACCGGAACGGAACAAACTCGGAAGATCACGTCGCCGGAGAAAACCCTCCATGCCCGGTACACTTTTTATCAGCGTGTCCAAGTCGTTCCCTTACAAGCAGCAGTGTTTAGGACTTGTTAGTTTCAAACATCAAATTATTCAAATTCTGACTAATTAGTACAAATTCATAGTTGGTCAAACACACCTTCAAAGAAAAGCTCATCAGCTTCGATGAGTTTGGGCAGACAGAAAAATATCTAGAGGCAGTAAGGACTAAGCGTATGAGAATATATAACAGGAATTCCAATCTCATTAGCAACATCACAAACAAAACCCAAAAAACCATCTGCTATGATACATGTCAACGGCTGGCGAGTTTTAGAACTCAAGCGGCCAAAAATTAGTATCTCTGTACGGGATAATTCCTGCAATAGTATGAGACAGTGATCTTCAAGCTGACAAACCTGAAACAACAGGGTCAGAAAAAAAGGGGTCAGGAGAGCGCTCGGCTAATCCCCTCCGAAGCTTTAGTCAGTATAAGGTCAAAAGGTTTTGCTCAATGGACTATTTTTTTTATTCAAGTTTGTGTATTTTTGTCCATTTTTTGGAAGAGTATTTATACCTGAATTAACAATGATTGTCAAAGATCTTCAGTCTCATCTGGACATCTTACATCTAACACATCATTCCTTGTGTAATGAGTGTTTTCTACTCACATCTCCTCCTATTGAATGCGAGAAAAATGGGATAAATGTTCGGCCAAATGCCGAGTCACATCTCCTCCTATTGAATGCGAGAAAAATGGGATAAATGTTCGGCCAAATGCCGAGCATTTATGTCATTCCCCGAGTACCCAAATCCCGCAGATCGGCATCCGACATCAATTGAGCATTGAATATTTGGGGGGAACAGTTTCTCAAGAGAGTCGATCACGTCGTTTCGGCACATCAGCCATTAATGCTTAGTCATCATGACAGTAGGCTTAAACTCCCAAAGAACAGGTGCTGACAAACGCGTATTTATTTGTCTTGTCACTATCACTCATTCCGCCATGAATAAGGGGTTGCATCGCATTAAATACGATGCTAGATGTTGTAATCGGCTGATCCGTGTCACCATGCCTCGGCTTACCTCCTCGGCACCCTTTAGATATCCCAATGGTTTTATTATTTCACGTGTCAACCCGGGGGCTATAAAGCCACCTAAAGTCCCGCCAATCTCTTTGAACAGTTTCTTGGTTATGGTCCTTAAAGAGTCGAGCACCCTAGCAACGGAATGGGAATCATCCACCGGTAGGCCATCGGAGATGGTTTCGAGATGTAACCAGGGATAGCTTTGAAAGCGGTAATGAAAAGTAAAGTGATGTTGAAGGCGATTGTAGATGTAGTCGGTGAGAAGGATGGTGATGTGGAAGCCTGAAAGACAGAGAAGCTCGACTATCTTAAACATGTAGTTTACAGGGCCCTGGAAGGGTAACGGGAAGATGAGGACGTGAGGTGGGAGTGCACTTTGATCCATCAGAGAGACTTACTGGTTAAAGATCCATTGAACTAAAAAGCATGAGAAATTTTTCTATGGGTGATACACACCACCTGGCTTTGCCCATGTGGTGTGCATAGCCAATAAATGTTTACACGTCACTGTTTTGTCAGAATTTTTTTTAAAAAAGTCAACTCAACCACCCAATTGTGTATATGGATGGAAAGTTAAGAAAAAAACAATCGTCCTTTTTACTCTTTTCAAATTTCAACAACTCAAAAATTTAAAACCCATTCCATTTCTTTCTCTCTCTGCAAATCTTTCCTCTCCCTCCCACACCACATTTCTCACCCCCAATTTGATTTTCTCTTTCTCTCTCTCTCGATGGACATCACTGGTGAAAGTAGGTTGAGACCTAGAGATACCCAGGTTGTGTGGGTGGAGGAACAAGTAAGCAATCATTTTTCTCTCTAAAATGAGAAATCATGTAAGAGCAACTGTTGGCCATGAATAAATCAAAAAATTGAAGGTGTTTAGTACTTTTTTCTTTACAGGTTGATTCAAGATTTTAGTATTTACATGGGAGAATTCCTGCAATAATTTGAGATAGTGATTTGGTGCCTAGTGAACCTGCAGCAATCACAGGGTCAGAGAAAGGGGCTAGGTGAGCACCCGTCTTATCCCCTCTGAAGCTTAAGTCAATATAAGATTGGAGGCTCTAACTCAATGTATCAAATATTTTGGTTTAATGTTGTGTACCTTTGTTCATTTTTCTGTGGAGTATTTATATCTAGAATAGTAATGAGTGCAAAGACTTCAAGTCCCATCTGGACATTCAATGTCTGACACTTTTACCCACGAAGATCGGAATGTTTTCCAGGTAGATTTTCACATATTCAATGCTAAGATGATAAGACAAGTGTTCGGAGACATGCCGAGCACTCGAGTGCCTACGATTGGCGTCTGACACCTACTTTTGAGTGTTCAATACTCAGGGGAAACAGTACATCAGGACACGCCAAGGAGATAAACTCGGGGTATCAGTCATTAATGTCTAGCCATCATGACCGCAAGCCTAGGGTCTGAGAATGTAGGGGCTCATTAATGACATTGTCTCTATCACTCGCATTGCCATAAATGAATGGTCAACTTGCATTGAATGCGGGTGTCAACTTGAGCACTCGGCTCCACTCCTCGGCATCCTTTGAGCTCCATAACAGCTACAATTTTACATGTGTCGATTTGGGGGCTGGTGAGCCGCCTTAAGTCCCGCCAGTATTTTTCATGAAGAATTTTAGAGTTTCAGAGAAATGGAAACATAGAGAAGAAGAAGATGCAGACAGATGGAATTTCTTATTTCTGACTAATTGCAACTGGTATTAGTTGGCGATGGCAGTAGACTTTTATATATGAAATGAAGGAGAAAAATGTATTTGCTGATTATTTTGTCCTTGTTATTTTGTAATCAGAACATGGATTTGCTGAACATGGACTTGAAGGTGAAGAGTGAAGACTAATGGTCCATAGAAGTGATTTTGATTCCATTCCAATAATTTAAAACAGCTAGTTGAGCACACCACCTGTTTGAAAAATATACATGGTGAATTTTTGCTTTACACCGTATTGGATTTGAAGCAGACACAATGTGAGGTGCAAAAATTAGGACTTTGCATCTGGTTTTTTTCTTTTTTCCATTTATCTGATGGGAAGTTCTTATTAATGGAACATTGTTAGTTTGGTGTAAGTGGGTGTTATTTGATTTTCACTAATTGTGTTGTTGATTTATATGTCATTATTATTGAAATCTGGTTTAATGATATGTATGTGATTCCACATCCGACTGTTACATTGAGCAGATGCAATGGTGGTCGGTAGGAGTTGGTTTTATTGGAGCAATGGATGTGGACATTTGAGGCTTTGGAGAAAATTTTCAGTGAAAAATGAGACATTATCTCATCTCTGAATCAATGGGTTGTTATTTTATGCAACTTGGGGAAAATTCATTCATATATGAAAGGATGGAAAATTCATTCCATCAACTTGGAGAATTGATGAACCTTTGATCTCCATTTTTTAAGGTTGAGATCCTAAGATTTAGCTTATAACCAAAAAAAAAAAAAAATCATTGTTCTCTAAAGAAGAATCCATGACTAATTGCGTCTGACAATGCAATTCCAACAAATCGTAGCATAAATTTGTAACAAAACTTAAAAAAGGACAGCGAGAAAGAAATGGTGACGTGGGAGGGAGAGGAAAGATTTACAGAGAGAAAGAAATGGTGATGGAGAGATGGGTTTTGAATTTTTTAAATTTTGAAAGATTTGAAGGACAATGGTTGTTGACCGCCAAAAAAAAAAAAGGACAGCGACCTTTTCGTTGGAGTTTGCCCCGTTAATTTTCCGTCCATGAGCATGGCTTGGTTGATGAGCTGACATTTTAAAAATTTTCTCTGACAAATTGGTGACGGGGAAGGCATTTATCGGCTATGCACACCACGTGACTAAAGCCAGGTGGTGTGTAATTCACATGCAAAAATTTCTCCAAAAGCATGGTTTGTGGGTGCCATTGTTAAAAAAAAAAAAGAAAAACTCAAAAATGGAACCTTTGGTTTTCTGCAATATTAATACTCTTTTGGGATTTAAAATTTTCAGTTACTTATTAACGTAATAACATGTCAAACGGTAGAGTCCCAGTAAAAAAATCTAGCCAATTATATTCACAAATAAAATTATTGAGACCGAGCAATATTATTAGAATTTAATTTACTGTGAAATTTGAATTAACGGTGAGCTCTATCAAACATTAAACAATCTATGAACGACTTATGAACGACTTCTCCATATCAATTTCAACGAATCACACTACATAACCAATCTATGGTCCGAGAGATTTTAAAGGTTTCATGACCTTTTTTTTTTTTTTTTTTTATCTTTATTATCAATTTACCCGTGTCTCTGGGTTATTTCCCAATTTGTCTATTGTTTTATATAATCAGATTAAAAATAGTTGGTCAATCAATTTTTTTTTTTAGAAATTATTTTCCAAAACTTAAAAATAAATTTGGAGGTACAAATCATACATGAACTAAATATATATATTGAGTGAAACTCCACAAGTCTTCCATTGGAAAAATCATCCACCATAAAAAAAAATTATAAAATCCTCAATCCTTATTTATTTATTTTTTTTATGATGGATGATGTTATACAAAAGCTTTCATAATTTTTTATTTTTAATTGTCACATAAAGTCAATCGCCACAAACAAGTGTTCATTTTCTTAGCATAAACCATGTAAAAAGACAAGACAACCATTAGCCATGAGTAGCTCGAGCGCCCATCAATTCTATGTCCTTAATCAGACGGTCCAAATTGCAGTACGATGGTCCACCCTCACTCAAGCTTTGTCTTGCTAATTTAGCCATCTGATCAGCAGATCTCTGAAACTCCTCCTTCCTCACTTCCATCAGTTCCTTCACCATCTTCTCAACAATCACTCTATCACAAGTATCTTTCATGTCCAACCCAAGCTTCCACGCCTCACCCACAAACCTACTGTTCATCTGTTGGTCAGCAAAGTACGGCCAACATATCATCGGAACTCCGGCAGCTATGCTCTCCAATGTCGAGTTCCACCCACTGTGTGTCAAGAACCCACCAACAGATGGGTGTGCCAACACCTCTTCTTGAGGTGCCCAACCCACAATATAGCCCCTCTCTTTCGTTCCCTCTGAGATTTCCGCCGGAATCTGACTCTCCCAGTCCTTTCCGGCAATAGAATCCGGCCGAATGACCCAGAGGAATGGTTTCCCACCATTCACCAAACCGTGCCAAAACTCCATGAGTTGGTCTTTAGTCATGACCGCAATGCTTCCAAAGCTTACATAGATCACTGATTTCAATGGTTTTGAGTCAAGCCAAGTGATGCAACTCCGATCTTCTTCCCATAAACTGTTTGAAGATGTTGAGTATGAAGTTGTTGCTGATCTGAGTTTGGTCTTCAGGTGGGTATGGAGGGGTCCGATGATGTAGAGATTTGGACAGAGAGAACGTATGTGTGAGAGTAAGGGTCCTTCTAGGTCTTCAAATGTGTTGAGTACGAGTCCATAGGCTCTTGGGTTTTCTTGGCTCTCCGGTAGGTAGAGTTGTATATTTGGATCAGTCAGGTCACCGGAACGGCAGAAGCTCGGAAGATCACGGCGTCGGAGAAAACCTTCCATGCCTGGTACACTTTTTATTGGTGTGTCCAAGTCATTCCCTGTAACATGCCGCAAATAACACTAGTTAGTACTTTTAGTGCATAATATCCTAGATTAAAACAGTGTTGAAGCCTTCAAGCTCTCAACTGATTCAAGCTTAAACGGGTTATATTCAATTGCTGCCACATGAAGCCCTACTCCATTAGAAAAATGGAACAATTAAAAATTTTCATTAATTAGAGTACCTGCCAAACTGCCGGTTGAAGTGTGAATGAACGTCTAACGATTAGTCTAATGACTACCGTCTAATTGTTGAACTTCAATGTTGCGGAGTAGAACTTTGTTGTACCTTTCTCTTGCAATAGTGTTTGGCGAAAGAAAAAAGAAGAAAAGTAGTGGTATACTTTGTTGAAAATATTTTATTTTGATTTGTATCATATTTAGTTTTAGTTGGAGGAACATGTATAATCCATTAACAAAAAAAGTCAACTTTAATACCTACTTTTCTCTCAACCAAATTTACAATGTCTAAATTAGGATTTTACTTCATTCACACCATAATAAAAACAAGTAAAAATAAGTAATTCTACAACAATTTAGATTGAGTTGCCAAAACTCACCTTTAAATGGAAGTTCATCAGCTTCAATGAGTTTAGGCAGGCAGAAGAAAACCCAGAGGCAGCAAGGACTAATTGTACGGACATATATAATAGGAATTCCAATCTCTTCGGCAACATCACAAGTAAAACCCATGATCCCATCTGCTATGATACACGTCAACGGCCGGCGAGTTTCAGAACTCAGGCGACCGGAAGTCAGCATCTCTTTGAACAGAGGCTTGGTTATGGTCTTCAGAGAGTCAAACATCTCCATTATTCGAACACCGGAACGGGTATGATCATCGGAAAGGCCGTCGGAGATGGTTTCGAATCGGAAACCAGGGTAGTGTTCAAAGCGGGATTGAACACTGGTGTGACGGAGGAGGCGATCGTAGATGTAGTCGGTGACGAGGAACGTGATGTGGAAGCCGGCGAGGCAGAGAAGCTCGGCGACTTTAAACATGGAGTTCACCGGGCCCTGCAACGGCAACGGGAAGATGAGGACATGAGGTGGGGGTGGCATTTGATCCATCAAAGTCTCTGTTTCCAATGGTTTTTTTTTTTTCGATTTTTCTTGCCAGCGATTGGTACAAGTTAACTTCATTATCTGCGATATTTATTTATTTATGTTATTTTAGTGAATGTGAAACTAGTATCAAAGACTTACTATCCTCGATACTTATTTAATGGTTGTGATTTGTAAATTTATTTTTTAAGTTTGTATAGTATTACTCATGAAACAAAAATGGTATATATTTTCTTGTTAAATATCATAATTAGGTCTTAAATTTTGTGTCTTATTTAAAAATAGTCTTCAAATTTTTAATTATTTCAATTTAATTCATGAATTATCAATTTTGTACGAGAGATTTTCTGCAATAATTTGAAATAGCGACGTTCAGCCTGGTGGACCTGCAACAATCATAGGGTCAAAAAAAGGGAGCCAAGTGAACACTCGACTTATCTCTTCCGAAACTTAAGTCAGTATAAGATTAGAGGTTTGAGCTCAATATATAATGTATCGTCGTTTCAAATTGCGTATTTTCATTCATTTTTCTGTAGAGTATTTATACCTAGAATAGTAATAAGTGCAAAGACTTCAAGTTCCATCTGGACATTCAATGTCTAACGCCTTTATCCATGAAGATCTGAGTTTTCTCTATCTTGATCTTCACATATTTAATGCTAGGATGATAGGACAAGTGATCGGGGACACGCCGAACAGTTATGGCTATTCCCGAAAACTCAAGTGCCTATGATCGGCGCCTATCACTTGCTGCTGTCTTTAATGCTCAGGGTACATCGACGAGATGTCCTCGGCGTAATAACAATTAATGTCTAACAATCATGACTGAAAGCCTAGACTTTGAGAGCGTAAGGGCTTATTAATGACACTGTTCCCATCACTCGCATCACTATAAATGAATGAGCAAATCGTATTAAATGCGAGTGTCAGTTTGTGTACTTGACTTTTTCGAGTTGTCATCTCTTGGCTCTATTTTTCGGCGTCTTTCGGACTCCATAACAACTGTAATTTTACACGTATCGATTTGAGGACTGCTGAATCGCCTAGAGTCCCGTCAAATTTTATACTCCTCCAAAAAGAGGGAAAAACTCTAAGCCCACACAGAATACATAATTAACATTGAGTACCATAGCAGCGAGCGAATTAGCCAACTAACAACTTCTTACGGGACGACTAAGTGCGCTAAAACCAACTTGTAGATGGATAACTACTTTCGGTGCTAGTAGATTTTATTTTACCCCTGCTACTGGAGTACTCGAATGAAGCCGCGTGGCAAGATTGTACATTTCACCCGTTAAAGCAAATCTAGGCAAGCCCAACAAATTTGTCATGTAATATTTGTTCATGTCATGTGTTTCTGTTTGTTTTAACAATTAAAATTGAAAGACTGATTTAATTGATACAAAATTAATAATTAAGAGATTAAATTGTGATAATTGAAAATTTAGGAACTATTTTAAATAGGATAAATATACTTTATCACTTTGAACTATTATATTTGTTTCACTTTGCACCTTCAATTATAAAATTTTTTCACATTGTATTCTAAAATATTAATTTTGTTACACATTACTCCAATAAATAACAACTATTAATTTTTTTTTATGGTAAATGCACATGCGAGTGGTTTGTATTGTCAATAAGAAGTAGTTTATTACACATGTGCAGGTCAAAAATTAAAAAAAAATTCCTTCCATGATTTTACCCTTTCTAATCTATAAATTTTTTTCTTTTGGCCAACCTTCTTTTTCTTTTCGGCAACTATTTGGTGCAAAAAAATAAAAATAAAGTAGTACTAGCCAATTGACGAAAAACTCTTTGGAATTTCTCACCCTCATTTGACATATTTTTAAGTTTGTCATTATCTATTTAAGTAATATGAAATAAAATTGATATTTTAAGGTATAATGTGAAAAATTTTATAGTTAAGAGTATAAAATAAAATAAAAATAATAATTTAAGAGAGTAAAGTGTAATTTAGTCATTAAAATAACATAAAATATTTAACAATGTTTTTTCTGTAACTTGATGAGTGGTTTTATAACTTGCCAGGGTACCCTGGTGATTGAACCAACTGACAATTTTTTGTCGTCTTCACGTCAGCTGATTTGGTTTCAGATGCCACAAAGTGGACCAGGTCTGGTCTACTGTCTTAGTTCATATATCACATGGGACTAATGAATTTAAAAATATAGGGTAAAAAATATTTTTATTTCTCAAAGTATGCATCTGGTGTTTATTTAGTTCTTAAATTTTTAACTGTCTATTTGGTCCCTAAAATTCTTGATTTGTATCTATGTGGTCCAATCTTAAACCTCCGTCAAAAAATCGTTAACGCCTCTAATTATGCGTCAATCACGTGGGACCAAATAAATACAAAATATGAATTTTAGAGATCAAATAGACATAAAATTAAAAATCACGTAATTAAAATATGACCAAAACCGTCACAATTTTCTGACGGGCGTTTGAGATTGAATTACAAAGATACAAATTAAAAATTTTAGAGACCAAATAAATATAATTAAAAGATCGAAGACTGGATAGATACAAAACGCATATTTTGTGCACTAAAAATATATTTTACCCAAAAATCTAAGAGTGTGTGTACTCATGTTTCTGACCAAAAAAAAAAAAGATGTGTACTCAGGTTGCAAGATTATACTTTGTTTTATAATTTGGATTGAATTTGAGTTCACCTTTTAGCCTGAACGAGTTATATTTTTTCATGTTATTTTTTTTCACATAAACATGTAAAATTATTTTTGTTTCGGAAGGTAAATAAGTTTATTAAACCTAAAAAATAAGATGTACAATAACGTTCAAAACCCCCCAAAAAGGTCACAAGAATCAATACTCAAAAAGTTTTATTCGTCCATACACCAAGTCTATAAATAAAATAATCTCTAACAGCCTAAGACTAGGTACAAAAATTAGAACGAGTCAATAAGTCCAATTACATGTTCTAAATACTAATATTATTAGAATCAGATTGGACATTGAATCTATAGAAAGACAAGGTCAATGATTCAACCGTTGAGTAAATTGGTGAGAACGGATGTATAATAAAAAAATATAAAACATAAATAATTTACCTTAAAAAATATGAAACATTTTTACTCTAATTTATTCATTCTATCAAACATTATGTAGAATAAATTACAAAAGAGCAAGAGAGTAAATAAGGTCAAAAAAAAAACAACTCTAGAAACTATAAGCGAGACAAAGGGGCCAGCAACTATAAGGCATACTCTCATCATCTGTGTTGTTTGCAGAGGCGCGAGAGATAGAGAAGAAAATAGATGACATGTAGGATGGCAATGGATCGAAACGAGGGCGAGGGGTGTAGTCTTTATTTTTGTATTCACTTAAAAAAATTCTGTTAATTTTCGGTTTACCTCTGTTAACGGGTATAATTTTTATCTTCATCCCTGTCTACAGGTAAATTTGTAATCCCTGCCTCTACTTTCACCTCTCGTCCAAAGTCAAGCCCAACATAATTCAACATTATAAATAGTCCAAAAAATAAAAAAAAATTTGCATGTCACCAACTGAAAATTATCACATAATTCTTCTCATCAATAAAGACTAGCATTTGATATACTGAATAGGCAAGGAGTCTATCCAACACTTTTCAAACAAAAAGTTTATCCAACAATTTTTAAAGGACAAAATCCATATTCAAGTAGAATAAACTCAAAAATCAACAAAAATTATACCTAACACTATAATCAGAATTCAACAAAAACCATATTCAAGTAGCATAAAATTAGAAAATTCAAAATATTGCATATGTAACACAGAAAATCAGATGTAGCACATGAAAATTGCATATCTAACACAAAAAAAAAATCAGAATAAACAACATCTAAAAATCTCGTATTTAACACATTATAGATTCGAAATAAAAACTCTCAATAGTTAACACAACACAAATCTTTAGATCTAACAAAACTCATCACAAATCTAACAAAAAATATCACATATCTAACGAAAGCCATAAAAAAGAACACAAATAATATATCTTACCTTATTGGACAAAGAAAAAAAAATGGTTTTTGCTGGTCCACTACCTAGACAAATTGGGAAATGACACTTCCAAATGAGATGAGTTTTGACGAATACTCATTTTTCTCCGATCTACTGTCATGTCTAATGAAATGAGGTGGTCCGATTCTAGGAAGATCAGTTCAGAGAGAGAGACTACCCGTTCAAGAAGCAAGGATAAATCAGTCGCCTGAGTCGGCTCCACTCAAGAGGAGATCACCAGTAGCTTGAGTTGTCGCCACGCAAGAGAGGAGATCGCCTGAGAGTTTGTCAGAGCCGTCTCCACTCGCCTGAGTTATCGCCTAAGAGAACCGCTGCTTGAAGGATCGATTGGAATTAAATTAGATTAGGGCAAAATTGCCCTAAAAAAGAGGGATTTTTTTCAATATTGTCTCCTTTATGTAGATCTTCGCTTGTTACAATTTAAAAGGACAACAAAGAGAACCGCCAGCTCCTCCATATGTTAACACTGCTCCACTAGAAACCACCTCCTCTCTCTCTCTTTCTCCGAGGTTATAGGAAAGAGCAATGCTATAGTAAACTTATTTAGGGCTTTAATAATATGGCTTTAATGCAACCATTGGATTAGTTGTAAATTTCAATGTTAGATGGAACTCACAATTGGACATCATTAGGTACTAAATAAGATCCCAAAATAAGGTCCAAATAGCATTTTCCTTTAGCAAATTGAGTATTTGTTTAATCAAACTGCTAGTTCACATCAAACCACCAGTTCATCGGTTTTCATAAAAATTGACTGATTTAACAATTCGAAAACGATTCTCATGCCTATGTTGTCCAACTCAAGAACCAAACCAGTCTAGGCTACAGTTCACGGTCAGACTGGTCCGGTTTTGTTAACTCTGCTAAATACTAAGGAGGAACCTTTAACCTTTCTTAGAGATTTTTAATACCTACACTATTGATATTTGATCTTCTAACATTCAGACTTTGAATCTTGCCTTGAAGTTTTCTCTTGCTTTTCTCTTTAGATGAGAAACCCCTTTCAAGATCATCACCAAATGAATTAT